GGAGTTGTGGTTGTGGGTACATGTATGGGAGGTTGGGTGGGGGTGGGAGGGTGAGTAGGAGGCGGGTGGAGAGGTGGAGGGTGAGGGTGTAGGTGGTGTTGGGCTGTTGCCGTCGTCGTCGCTGCTGCTGGGCCCCGCGGCCCCTGCAGCCGCTGCGTACCGGCCCATCACCTTGAGTGTGGCGAGTGTCATGAAAGAGAGTAGGTACTCGTCGTGGGAGCAGTGGCAGTCGAGGAGGCTGGTGAGGGTCTCTATGGCGTGCTTGTTGTCTGAGATGACAGATTCGATGGTCCGGGCGTTGTTGTGGGAGTTATTTGGGAGTGTGTTGCTGGTCGAGAGCGTGCAGCCGTGAGCGGCGTTTGGGAAAAGGCGGGCGAGGAGATCGAGGGTGGTAGTAAGACAGCAATCGAGCGGCGCCGGGATGCCGTTGCTGTTGGTGCTCCTGTCGGTCGGAGGGTTCCAGTCAAGGGAAAAGTTATGAGTGGCCGAGAAGTCAGCGTCTAAGACAGAGAGTGGCAGGTCGCCGAAGATGTCAGGTGTGGAGACGATGCTCTGGTCGTTGGTTTCTGGCGAGCTCGATTGCTCGCGGTCCATTATCATGTGGGAACCAAGGCCCAGATCGAAAAGCTCGCTGGCGTCGTTTCCTGGGCCTGTCATCGGCGGTGACCCTTCCGGATCGGCTGAGAGGGTACTCGATGAAATGTAATTCCACATATCAACGTCTGGTCCGCTACAGGTCCCGGGAGTTGCGGTGACTTGAACCGTGTGGAGGTGAGGGTTGATGTGAGAGTCCAACGGGAATCCGGTATGTAGCGAATGTCTCCTCCCCATCAGTCTGTCCCGGACTGCTAAAGCACCGCGGGTTCCGCCAGTGAACCCAGTCGAGCCGGGATGATTTCTACCGGCCGGGGCACGGGCTGGCCCGGGGCTCCCGATACCGAGCCGGCTGTTTCCGATCCAGATTTGGGTCGCGTCTATTTTGGACGCATTGGATGAGGTGCGGCCAGTCCGCCTCGATACCATGTAGATGCAAGCCACCCCTCGGCGCGCACACCGCGCACATGTTGGCTTCTCCTTGCTGCATCTGACTTTCGAGCTGGCACAGTCAGTACAGCTATCCCGTAACTTACGCGGGCCTTGGGTGCTGCCCTGGCCGACAGATTGTCGAACCGCGCTATCGAGCATTACGAAGACCAAAAGAGCCCATGGAATGGTAGGCAAAGAGATGGTGAGGGATAGGTGCTTCAACCAAGTTTACCGGGGAGCTTGGTGTGTAGGATATATAGGCACTACGGCTTCAACACCCTCCAGACCCTGCTCTCCATCTTCAACCCTTTCATGGCGAAGGCACCTTCATTCGGTTGCAAGGAGAGACATCCCTTACCAGAAGGGTACATATCGCTACCACGCTCTGCAGGCGGCATCTATGACCTAACCACTGAGGTTTGGCCAAAGTGTCTTAGAAATAAGACGGACAGATAAGTAGCCATAAGCGGAGAGGCTGATCCAGAGAGCGCTGGGAACCGTCAACTCAGTGGCGGAAGGTTTAAGCCGGGTCTCCGAAATGTTTCATCGTGTTCAGTTCTAAATTTGCCTATCAGGGTTCCCAACAGCACGTAGTTGCGCCGATCCCGTTTCGGAAGCATGCTCCAACCATAAGTGCTGCCAAATGTCTGCAAAGGATTTGATTCGGCCAAAGGAGGTCCGACGAGACTGGCCTACCAATGGCCCTAGCGATGTAGAGTTCAGCCAGCCCGGGGCCATGCCAATCTTCCATATTTTAACGATGGTATGGTCCCTCCGTACCCCGGTTGTGACTTTGACCCCCCCCCCCCCCCCACCCCTGGAGAAAGCCCTCGGAGCATATTCCTAAAATGGTGTGCATGCCTAAGAAACTTTCGGCAAGCACAACACCATCATGTGTCATTACGCCTTGGTTGTTTGCCAACTCTGTAGGACCTTCCATGAGCCTCAAGTTTGCCTTGTATTTGCTCCCTGAAGAACGCACAGCAACGGCGCATTGATTTGCTCCAGGGGTGCAGGGGTGCAGTAGCGTGATATCAAAAACCAGCTCGGACAGGTGATGCACATACGCATTGAATTTCTTACATTTCTCACACCTCGCTAACTAAACGAGCTGGAAGTCTTCCACTACAAGCCTGGGCACTTCCCGGTGATGTACTTCTTTTCCATTTGGCGAAGGGTATTCTCGGATCGGGCCTTTTCCTTTTCTCAAGCCTGAACATTCGTGTTACCATTCATTGCGGCTGCCGGGTACATACATGCATGCGCAGTGTCACGGATGATCTCTTGCGGCCCAGGACCAAAATGTGCCCATCCTGCGGCTCTGGTTATGATGCGCAATCCTGATCGCCACAAACGTTTCTATTTGATCCAAAAGGGGGGACACTGAGCCCATCGGTTACCATAGCACATTATTGACCTCGACTTCTGGTCTATAACTCACCCCGTAACAACCACGAGATGGGCTCTTCGCCCTGTACCTCGGCATTAACAACAAATATCACCGGTTCTCACCTTACATGTTGGCACAAAACCTATAGACGAGACTTTTGGCCGTAAAAACAACGTGAGAGCCAACACCATCCGCCCGAGGCATTGGGCGATGATCAAAACAGCGGCAAGCCTTCGGGATTGGAAGAGGCCCTCGAATTCCTTCGGGTCAAGCCCGGGATCGTTCACTTCCCCTTTAGCCAGGTCACAGTTATGTCTTCTTCTTAATAAGGACCTTGGCCGAATGACTTAACCACTGACAAGGTACCCTCACTCTCTTCCCTGGATCACTCTTAGATGCCATAACCGCGGAAGATCCACTGAATCTCGCATATTTGAACCACCGTGGTAGGTGAGAGACAGCCAAAACCCGGCCCGGTCATTCCGGACCGAGCAGGATACCTTGGTCAAATCGCATTCATAAACTTGGCCCCGTGTGCCTTCGTCAACAGGGGAGAAAGTTTCAGGCACCACCCAGTTTGCATTTTAGCCAATTTTTCCATTGCCTCAATGATGAGCAATTACTTGCAGACCCTTTTGACCTCGGGGGCACGACGTAGGCCGCTTAATGGCCAAGGCAGGTTTCCTTCGGGACTCTCGGCGAGGGCAAGTCCGCCACATCCCACTTTCAGCTCGGTTCCTCATTGAACCAAGCAACACTCACTGTTCGACCCCGCTATGTTTCTCGTCCAAACCACCGCGTCTGCGCCGTGAAGATGTCACCGGCCAGAACAAGGTTCCCCCGTTCGGACATCTCGGATCAGTCGTCTCAAACTTCCGCCTTCGATCTAAATATCCCGAGCCTACCTCTTGAGGTACCTAGGCAGCAGCCGAAGCCCAAACAGCGATTATCGGCGTCCCCGCCTTCCTCTTCGCTTCTCGGAAACGATGGCCGGGTTATGGCCCATCTAGAACATTGCACTGGCGCTCGATTGGACCAGTTGATTTCGGGATGTGACCAGAATCAGCTTGAATTGGCAGACTGACAACTCTACACGAACTGACCGCCTGAAAAAAAGGTTATTATTCTGAGGAACGCGTCCATGAAGAGCCCTTGTATACTGGCCTCAACCTTTAACACGTTGGCAGGCAACTCAAGCACTGTTTAGTGGCTGGGCAAACAAGTTTCATACTCACATTTCATCACGCTTAACTCCTTTGACTTCTTTTAGAATTCGGTTTCCATCCGCTTCCGGGTTATCGGTTCCCCATGTGGAGATCTTCCCAACCAACAACCCCCTCTCACTGGAGGCATCGAGCGGGGGCTGTCTCACAACCCCTCCCACAGCCAGCGCATCGGATTCTTCCCGCTTAGTTTCAAGGAGGTCTAGAACTTGCAGCGGAGAATACAAGGTTTGCCGCTATGTTTGGAAAGGCAGGATCACGCGGTGGAGCTGAGCGGAACGGGCGAACCGGGTCGTCTGCATACATCTCACACCACCCCGCTCCCAAGGCTCCCTCTGACTGACAGTCTCGCCCCATGGTATGGTGTTTCATGGCCATGGATCACATACACGACTCGCGGACCACCAACTTTGCCCCATCTTGCCAAAGTTCTCTACTATCATTGTGCTGCCAACGCAGAAACCAAACCATCGCCAAAGGTCGAGCACGGTTGGGGAACTGGCATACCTAGAGAAAGATGCCAATCAAGGGCCTAACAAGGGGGCAGTGGCGTCAACAAGCACCCTATATATAAACAGCGAGTGTCTAAAACCCTCTCTCTCGGCTTGGGGGTTGTTCACCACAGGCGTCCGAAATTTGCCTCATTTTTACAACTCGCGGCGGACACGGGGGTGCAGAGAGCCTTCGAATGACTCAAACCTTTCCGACGTCATGCAATTATTCTCGAATGAACCACCTCCCCCTTTCCCCTCATGCCACCTTCACTTCTCGTTTTCCTACGGTGGGATTCCTGCCGTAATGTACGTACTTTTACCGAGCACTATTATTCCCAAATAAACTCCACCTATACTCAAGATACCGCAGCGGGGTTCTGTAGAGGGCAACTACCGTACTTGCAGGCGGTTACGGTACCTTATTCAAGATGTCAAATAGTACCAGGTGGAAGCTCAGCATTATCATATGTAGGGCTGCATGTATGTTCACGCACCTTCCCCTAAGCACCTATTTCCTACATGATATCACATCGGTTTGCCTATCAAGATGTGGATCATTACCTCGCTGCATCCAGTTGAAGTCGGCTCCCATCTCGGCATGCGCCACCGGCTGTCCGAGGAAATCAAGCGGATTGGTAGTAATGAACGATTCCGATCTCTCGGGCCGGTTGGCGACGAAGGCGGGATTTGCAAGTCAATGATCGCCTGGCAGGATCATGGCTGTTATTACCGGATTTGTGGAGGCACCAAGCCTCGATCCTACCGAGACGAGGTTGTGTGACAGTAGCATGATCTACATCGGGAGAAGGTGGTTCAAAAACAGGAGTGTCAAAGACAAAAATGCTCTAAGCGAGGGACCACGAACCAGAAACAAACACCAACAGAGACGCCCGGCATCTCTGAGCGTCGATCAATCAGTACGCCTTTTCAGCTCTACACGACACGGGCGCCATCACGCTTCGTCTATCTCGGTACCTAGACCGCCTCATCTACCCAAGGAACGCCACCACAAAACCGGCCCACCCACGCGGTAAGCGCGATAAACCAGGTCCGCACAAGCTCGGTCATCACCCGATTCCCGCCTGATTCCTTGGACTCAGCCGCAGCCACGCCCGCCCAGTAGCCTCTGACAAAGCCGTACCCGTTGCCGATCATTTCTACGCGGGTTGTGCCTCCCATCCGGATTTCGTCCCCGCCGGGGGGCCGGCCGTGCTTACCTACCCAACCAACTCCCGAATGATGGCTTGCATGTCAGCAGCATATGGTCGATAGGGAGGGTTTAAGTGGCCACCATGATGAACTCGGCACTGCCGTGGTGAACGTTTTGAGGTCCTGGGTGGAGTCAGGGGCACGAATTTCGGGCGCCCGTGGCAAGGGTTCGTTCAAGTCGGTGGCAATGGCCAACGAAAGGGCCACCAAGGCAAAACGTTCTTCCTAGTACAAGTATCCGATTGTACAGACGTGGGATCGCTCAACACCCCCCATCCTGCCTTCTGACGGCCCGTGGCTCGGGCCGACAAGATTCGGTAAGCCACGTACTTAGCCTTGGACGGGAGTTTCCCATCTTCAGAGCATCAAAAGACGTGCCCAAGCCTCGCGCGAGGTTGACTGACATTGCCACGTCGTCGTGACATAATCTGCATGAGTCGGGCCGAGTATGTAAAGGTACGCAAGTAGCCGGTGCGGATCGCCGTATGTCTCGGCCGGATGTCAGCGAGCCACAATCCGGGCTACTGCCATTATGGTCCCTCTGTCATGCTTTGCTTACCATGTCCTCGGTCCTTCTCTTAATGGGGATCCTGCGGGTGCTTTTCTGGCCGAAATCAAAACCTTGGCCCGCTCTTTGTAAAGGGGTGGCGGTAACTGGTTCGCAGCCGTGGAGTTGTAATTGGACTAGGACGCCAACAAACGTGATCACAGATAATGCTAGTATGCCGTAGAAGTCCCCATTAAGACCCTATAAAAACAAAATAGCGTGTAGTTCGTGTCACAGCGGCCACGTGAAATCCCCTCTGGTTGCACTGCACCAAGCATTCTACGCCATGTTGACAAAGGCCATTGTTAGAATAGGACGCCCCTTGGACCAAGGTTGTTCACGTTGGGGCTGGAGCTCCTGCCAGTTAAGTAGTAACAAAGAGTGGCCTGCAACCATTGACGGTCATGACAACCATATTCTGCTGTACTATAAAACCGCTCTTCGTCCGTTCACCAAACCTCCATGGTCCAGGATACCGGTTATATGTCCCGGGTCTTACAAAAACAGACACAAATTAATGGGTCCTCAGTCGTAGCAATGAACGCCAACCAACACGTCAACAAACTTCAGGGAGGGGTCCCTTCAGGCCCCGGAACAACCCACGCCCCTTCCTGTAGCTGTTGCTTGGCATATCAGGCGTTGAAAACGAAGGAGAAGGTGAGAGCCATCTCAGGCACGCTACAAAACAACATTGCTACTCTCGAACCCTCGCCCGCTAAGGCCAAGTGTAAAGGAATCGTGATACGGCTCGCCGACTTGTGCATCCAGTACGAGGAAGTCGAAGCGGTGCTTATCCGGGCTGCTAAAACCGAAGCCTCGGCCCAACGTCAACAGGTGGTAGTCAAGTTGGCCGGTATCATGATGGCAAATGCGGGGAAGAAGCTCGATTTCCTGATTGAAGACGTTACCGAGATATTGGAGGAACAACGCAGCAGGGAGACCTAGGCAATCTGGGAGGAAGTTTACTGGTAGAACGAAGGTTAGGTGAGGAAGGTATTGTCATTGTAGAGAAGAATATTGTTTTCAAGGATCTACATATCATGGTAGTCTTGCTGCTCCCCATCCCAATTACTAGAAGAATGACTGTTGAACAGCCGCATCCATTTTCTGATTACATGTAGAATTCCCGCAATCGATGGCTACCTACATAAACTGTAAAGGATGTTAGCTTCTTCCCAATACCTTCCTTGCCAAATCCCGCCTTGTGAATTGCCTTTCTCGCGGGGAAGCCAAGTTTAGTATAACACGGTCTCCACAGCCAATAAATAGGTAGGTACCTACCTTACTTACATAGGTACACACGGTCCCATATCGTAATGAAGCCATAACCACTTAGGTACCTGCAACTTTTACTTCTACATCAGGAATCAGGCCCAGCGCAGGACACTTGCTCTACAATGCTGATGCTTGGATAAACACAAGGCTTGGTACGTGTTGACACGTTGATGTTATCGGACTGGCCTGCACGGTCTTGTGTCATGTTGCCCCCGGGTAGAGACGAGACTACTCGCTCAGCAACAAACCTTGTAGTGAACCGGGAAAACATGATTTGCACATCAAGACCTTTTAGTCACAAAATAGATATGGATGGCAATTCCTGGTTCGTACGTACGCGAATGAACAACTCACCCACAACAAGGTATTGCTCTGTGGCTAGTAGTCCTGTCCCACGGGGAGCCACATCGATTGGTTGCCGGCACCAGAGTGTTCGCATTCTCTTGTGGTATTAATACTCCACTGCCACATTGATCAACTCACTCGGAGTCACATCTACAAAAACCAACAATCTTCCACCAATACACGTACCGATCAGCCATGGGCGCCCTCGATCCAACTCACAAGGCCCAAACACCGCCTGGAATCCCGGATACCGCCAACAGGACTGGGGTCAAATTCACACCCAGTCGAACCATTCCGAGCATCAAAACGGCCGCTGACAACACAAACAAATCCACCAGCTCGTTCGACAACAAAAGCAAACCATCACCCAAAAAAAACAAGTGGACCTGCCCCTGCATCTTGTGCGGCTGCAGCATTCGGAACGGCCTTCCTGGGCACTGCTTAAAATGCCAAGTTACCTGCGTGGAAAAGAACTCTACCTTCTGACAGAAATCAACACGGATGGTGGTACGCGAGAGTTGCTATTAGTGGAGGGCTAGAAGGAGAATGTGGGCGACAAAGGAATGGGGGTTTCGGGGGGGAGTCATGAGCAAATCATGAAAATTGCATTATCAAGCGGATTAAAGTAAATTTCGTGGTTACATCTTTTTATTTGTGCCACATCCCAGAAAGTTGAAGCTGGTCGTTGGCATAACCCAGCATCTTGCTACTTCCCTCGGCCCTGTAGTTTCCATTATTAATAAGAAACCAGCAAGAGACTGGCAATGTTGGCAATATACAGTCGGTACCTTATATGTTCAAACCGCGCCAGATCTATCAGGGCGTCCGTTTTTAAGAAAAACACCTCGAAAACACCGCCAGTTGTAGGCCACATGCGCGTTAGCGCAGATGAAAGAAATATCGTGGCAGAGGTAGTTAATACTTTAATACTTTATGATCTACAATAAACTACTGTCGTGCATCAAGTCCACATAGAAAAAGGTATGCCCTGTTAGACTGCAGCTTTGCAGCAACTGGACGGCAACTGATCCCTAATCCAACGATAACCCCGAACTCGTGCCCCATCCCTCCTCCCCCCACAGTCGTCCCAAAACACCCCTTCTCACGTCGACAAGCTAACGCAGCCGTCAGCACTATCCTCCTGAAATATCCCCCCAAAAACCACCGCTTCGTCGATCGCATCCGGCTGGAAGCCGTTCTTGGTGATATCACCCACGCCGCCCACCGGTTTCTTGAGAACCCCGAAGTGGAACTGGCCCTGACCACTGACGTCGTTCTGAAGCACATCAGTGACGGCAGCAAGTGCATCGTTTCCTGTAGAGAAGAAGACCTGGGTTGTCCTACGACGGGGGAGTTAACAAACAGAACACATGAGTCTCGGTAACGGAAGAAGCGGGAACAAACAGTTGATCAAAGTCCAGCGTCAGCGCAAAGTTGTGGAAGACGCCGGCATTGAACGGGGTGCTGAAGAGGACGTCGCCTTGGTTGACGTTGCCGAAGAGCTGCAGTGTGTCTGGGTCGGCCGTGTTTTGTCCCAGGATCGTTCCCGTCTTCAACACAAACTGGTTGGTGCTGAAGTCCTGGCTCTCCAGGAAGGCGAGCTGATACTCGTGCGATAGGTTCAGCGGCCGCGCGTTGTCCTTGAGGACGCTGAAGTGCAGTGTCTTGACCCCCTGCGTGCTCGCGTCGGTGCCGTCATTGCTGGCCGGGATGAGCTCAGCGCGGCGGAAGGCAACCTGGTTGTTGAAAATGGACTGATCGCTGATTGACACAGCGATCGGATTTGCGTTGGCGTCGACATCGAACTGCAGCACTCCTCTGTCAGTAAATCAACGATAGAATTACGAGGCAGGGGGCGCGCGGACCAGTGACGCGGTGCTGGAGGGCAGGAGGCGGAGCGCTTGGCTGAAGGTGAGTCCTTCGCCGAGGACAAAAGTCTCGCTAAAGATGTCGTTGGGCACATCAAAATCGCTAGCAACCAGATTGCTGGGAACCCGACCGTCAAATTGGAGCTGGCAAACTTGCCCGACCACCAGAGGGGAGAGTAGGGCAAAAAGGAGTAAGGATGGGGGGGAAGAGAAGCGAGGAGACAGCATCGTTTTTGGAGGAACCTGTCCAAATGAGTGACTGTGAAGTAGATACAGTAGGTAGTTAGGTATTGGTTCAATGAAGGTTAGATCGATCAACAATGGAGGTTTCCATTTCTGATGCGATCCGACCTAACAGGGCCAGGGAATATTAATCTTTTTGTGTCTACGAACGACGATGTTGCCGCGGGCTCGGCATTCTCGGTCTGGGTAGTATTTCATGCATTATGTATGTCCCTGGGATGGGTTGATCGTCGTTGCGCGACGATCCGCGTGCGAGGCTTCAACATGTGGCTTCATGCATCATAGCCTGCGGTGTTTCAGAAAAGCTTGGACTGAAGGCAAGGCACCCGACCAAGAGGAGACGCTGTCGCTACCAATAGGATGTGTGGGTTTTCTCAAGGAGTCAAGTGGATCATGGCGAAAGGAAAAGTTGTTCTGTTCCGCGTTGGAGCCAGGGGAGACTACGGTACTGGTTGGTTGGGGCTTGCAGAAAGGAGACGGGAGGGAAACGTGTTTGGAAGCAGTTCCAAAGAGCCAAGGGCGTTGGTGGCAGGGATGTGTGATCCGTTGGACGTACGAAGCATACTGTTTGTTCATCATGTCATCAAGATTACCTAGTCGTCTAAGGGTGGAGTAAGAGTGGGAGAATTACATGATCCAAATCGAAGCGAGTGGCTGGTAGTCAAGTACCAAGGCCGAGAAGAAAAAGAAGAGCATGACCCTAGCCAGCTTGAGAAACCGCCCTCCCTTCCGCGGCCGCTTGAGCCGAGCGAAATCGCCTCCACTGGCTGGATGGATGGATGGAATTTATTTCGCCCGGAGGCACTGGGCCTAGAGGGCCTTAGCACGCTAACTACATCCGGATCAAATCGGTTTGCCTTTAACTCGTACAAGCCCCCTACTTCTTCCCTCTTTCTCGCTGCACCATTTACCTCTTGCCTTGGTTTCCATTAGGTAGTCATTTGGGGGGTGCTCGCTAGAAATTCCCTACAATATCATCGGTAACGGTCAGGAGCACCCGGACGACATCGACGCAGTCAACCTGGTGGTTAGGGCAGGTCCCAAAAGCTCATGGCCCATGGGAAGGTGTGCTCACCGAAAGAGCGGAATGGTCAGGAAGTCTTCGTCATTAGGCCCATCGACGACGAAGTCGCAGGGTGTGGCGCGGTGGTCTGAATCCGCGGGGGTCTCGCAAACGTCCAGCCAGAACTGCTGAAACCGGGCGTCAAATTTGGTCTTCTCGAGTGTGTCGATGTCAATATCGCAGTCCAGGGCCTCCCGCTTGATAAAAGACAGCAGGGCACCCTTCATGTACATGTCGCCCAAAAGTGCGCCCTCGCATTCGACGCATTCGTCAACGATGACAGGTTTGATGGATGCCAGCTTGTGCGAAATCACATCCTATCAAAAGATCAGCTAACAGCCTTAATGAGAGCCCCGAAAGCTCCGGTGCCCTGGAGGGAAGCGCTGACCACTGTACCCCCGCCAAAGTCGGCAATCATGATCGTGTCCCCGCACTGTTGTACCCAACTCGTTAGCCTTTGCGGTCGTGGGAAGAGGAGATGGTGGGCCGCGGGGGTCGGCGAAAGCACATGTGCGTACCTTGAGTTTATGCTTCGCGGCCAACCTGGGAATCGTGGCGAGGGCTGCGGCCTCGAACTCGGGGATAAAACCTATGGTTGCGCGAGGCCCGTTGGTGAAAGACAACATGTTGGACTGTTCAATGGCGGTCCTCATCCCCGTCGTGGCCGATTTGTCCCACACCGCGGGGACCTCGAACTGGATATGTAGGGCGGCTACATCCGCGGGCGATAGGTTAACGCGACGCAGACGGCTGCCAAGTTGTACTTCCCAAGCTTCCTAAAAACGCTGGAGGTATATGGTCATCGCCGAGACACCATCCAGATCAGCCTCTTCGAGCCGCTTGCGTGAGGCCTCGACAACGGCCAGACGACCTGCTCGTAGGGTACCATGGGCCAGTGCGCCCTCTGCAAGCGCCAGCTTGGACAAGTCCAGCTTGGTTTCGCCTTGTTCGGTCCGGATGTCGTCACCCCAACTCTCCTTGCGAGTCCGTGAGCCTATGACCGTTGGCTGCAAATCCTGTTCCTGGAGCTGTATCGATGCGGCTGAATCCGTGGGTTGGTCGTTGGGTCTGAGCAAAATGAAAGACGCTCCGCTCGTCATATTCCCATGGCAACGTCAGTTCTTGTCATGTTCTTGAACCTGTCCATTGCCAGTAATGCTGAGGCCAAACACTGAAGACCAAAGCCGAACAGGATGCTGAGTAAATGTCTTAAAATGCGTGCACTTACCCCGATGTCGATACCGACGGCGAGTTTGAGGGATGGCGCCATGGCGGTGACCCGTGGTTGATGTCTCGAAAGAGAGAGTCTTGGCTTGGTAGACGTCGCGAGCGAAAAGAAGATGTGCAAGATTTGACAGAGGCTGGCTGGGGTGGTGCACTTGGAGGGACTTCGAGGAATGCCTCCGCACTTGCCCAGGGTAAAAAAGTACGAGTAGGCAGCGCTGTCCCTAAGACAACTTCCGATGGTGATTGATCAGTCGATGAGAACGACGTGCAAGGTTCAACGCGCGGTTGCTTGGTCCAGCGACATAGGAACGGTGTGTGAAACCACGCTAAAGTCTCAACGTCTCCAGAGCGGCAGACAGCGACAGCGGCACCGCATGCATGCCACCGGCAGGGGAGGAGACATCAGGGATTCGAACATATACGACACGGGGGATTTGTGAGTGGCTGGTCTTATGGAGGCGCGGAACACCGCCGCCTACATTTGGTGATCTTACGAGGTCACTCCAAGTCACTGTGTATGGTGTTTGATGTGCAAAAAGACTTGCAGATTCGTCTTCGAAATGTCCTATGGAGTACGTAGCGTTGCCTCAATAAGGATGGTTACCGCACTGTCGAAACACCTCAGAGCCCTCCCATTTGCCACGTTGTGATGGTGCCTGGCTTGACCCAGATGGGCATGGCCCAAACGGCAGGGTCCACAATGACACCGGATATCCATCCAGCACGGTGTGTGCATATATGCCCATACATGTACGTTGTACACATACACGGGATGCTCAAGCCTGATGTGTGGTCGCACGAATTACAACTGGTTGGCCACAGGCACCAATGGCCGGAAACGGCCAGATTTTGTCATCACATTGTCCCGTTGGCGGGGATGAAGCGGAGCGGAGCACTGGCAATCAGAAAGGGGGTCATTTCATCGCCCGAGCACACAAAAATGCTGTCCTTGGGGTTCTCGACGCTTGCATCCAGCTTGTTTCCCGTCTAGCGTTATCCACACACCCGAGCCACCCAGCCCCGTGTCGACAATTTGACAAGTCGCTCTTGACTCCTGTTGAAACACCAACCTCCTCTTGCATCAGATCAGGCTGCCATGCCCTGGCCCACGAGTCAGAAGCGTAAAAGACGCAGTGCATCAACGCCCGAGCGTGCTTTTCTCGCCAGAACACCCGACAATTCCCACGAAAACATGGCCAGTTCCTTTCAGCCTGAGCAGCATCCGCCCAAGCCCTGCGAGGCTTACTGCTGCCAGCGCGGCGTTGAATGGGTTGACTATCATCGCGCATTGGATCACTACACCAGCGGACCTTGCACCGTGTCAGAATATCGGGGTGGAGGCTTCGGATATGAAGAAAACGGGGCATGTTTAGCTTAACCATCACTTCTCATTTCGACGGGTAAAAACCCCAAGGGGACCCACATGTCGGAGTCTGAACGAGGAGACACCGAAAACAATAAAACGGACGCGGAACAAGCGCGGACAACAACCATACTTGATTGCCTGATTGGACCAGTGAATCCCGTATTCTGACAATTAAGAGTCTCATCCCGCTCTACAATACCAATTGAGCTTCCTCTGAATACGGCTATCTTACCTCTGAGAGCAATACCGCGCTTTCGACACTCCAGAGCCCGATCGATTCACCGACAACTCCGGAAGACATCATGACGACCGATCAGACAAAAAGTCAGTCTCGATTCGTCTATCTAGACGGCCCCGGCGACTGGGAAGTCTGGGAACAAGACTTCTTGAGCAAAGTCAAGCTCCAACGCGTCTGGGACCAAGTCCAGGGAACGAAGCCCCTGAGGAAAGAACCGATATGCCCGGAACCCGATCAGGGCTACGCAACCCGAGCGAACGCGGCCCGAGGCGCGCAATCCGCGACAGACTCGACAATCACCGTAGCTTCAGGCTCTCGACCGATATCCGTGGCGGATCTCACCGACGGCGGCCGCACTCGATTCAACGAAGACATGGCAACCTACATCCGTCTGGAAACCCTCTACGTGCAAGAAGCGAAGGCCATGGCAGAAATCGGCGAGTTCGTCATCAAGACCGTCAACCCGAAGTATCGACGGACCTGCTGCAAAGCAGATGACTCGATCTCCCAGTGGTACATCAACCTGAAGAAAGAGTGGGAGCCACAACCGAATGGGGATACAACAAAGCCAGCAACGATTACCACGAAGCCCTCAAGCCATTAGCGAAAATCAAGGACTATGAGACCTTCATCGACAAATGGGAAACGGCATTTTCCGTCGCCAACGACAAGGGAGTCGCCGAGACGCTCAACTACCTCTCGTGGTCGCGGGATTTTTTCCGATCCATCAAGAACGTTCCAGAGGCTGTCGCGTGGGGAATATCATACCGTCAAACCAAAGGGCAAGACTTCCAAGAAGGGAAGCTCACGTATCGTGACTTTGCGGTGGACTTTCGCAACGAGATGGGCCTGGTCGCGCCCACAACAATGCACAAAAAGATTGGGAGAGGTGCATTTGGACCTACCTACGCGGATCAGGAGGCCAACGACCAAAACGCAGAAGGCGCATCCAGAGGGCGGGGAGGACGCACCCGTTCAGGCAAGAAACGCACGCGAGACAACCGATCGTTTTCGTCGAAGTGCATGCTCTGTGACGTCCCGGGACACAAGATCGAGGAGTGTTTCTTTCTGTCCCAACAAGCCCCAACCTGGTTTAAGCCAACGGATGAGAAAAGAGAGGAGATTGAAGCTCGCATTGAAGAAGATGTGAACATCAAGAGGATTGTTCAAGGCATGAGGGGCAAGCGCCCTAGGACAGGAACCAGATCGGGAAGTAGCCGATCAGCGTCCGAAAGTCTCACCAAACAAGAAGGGACACCGGTTATCGAGGATTGACTCGCCGGCCGGAGAGTGGGATCCATTGAGGAGGCATCGTTCATAGCCATCAAGGCATCGTTCTCAACCAGATCCACATATCCCTTGCTCCTATCGGCAATTCTGGACTCAGGGACTACCATCCACATCTTCAACCAAGAGGAGAGGTTCTTCAATAAAAGACCAGCGCTTCCTGACGACTATATCGTGGCAGGAGACTCCCGATTAGCCGTCAGGGGATACGGAGACGTAACCATCCAGTTGGGGACCACGCGGAAGGTCATGAGACTTCGAGACGTGGCATTCATCCCTAGCATTCAGTGCAACTTGGTCTCCTTGCGTCTCATCAGACGGCAGGGATTTTACTGGGACAACCGAAATGACCCAACCCTCCTCAGGAGAAGAGTAGACAACTCTGTGGTGTGTCGACTCCGGGACCTACACGGGCAGTACGTCATCGAATACAACGACGCCAATTCCAACCATGCATCTTTTGCAACCCGATCAGCACGCTGGACGAACTGGAAACGACCATCAGTCACAGCAGAAGCCCAGAAATGGCACCTCCGATACGGGCATCCAGGACCAGAGGCCTTAGCCCGACTGCAGCGGACAGCTCAGGGGGTGAAGATCAGAGGGCCAACCACAGTCCAGTGCGAGGCATGCGCCAAGAGCAAGATCAAGCGACAGATCAGTCGTCGTCCACGCCAATTTACCCAAGGGGTAGGCGAGAGACTAGCCGTCGATTTCCACGAATACACCCAAGGATACGAAGGATTCAAGCACCTGATGCTGGTCACCGATCGCTGGTCTGGACTGGTCTGGGATTTCTACCTCACCGATCGGAAGGGGAAGACACTTGTGGAAGCCTTTGACGGACTCTGGATCTACCTGGACACGCAGTACAGGATTCGCCCCGCGGTCATCGAGACCGACAACGAAGTCATGAAACATGACGGGATCATTTCATGGGCAGCCGAGAAAGGTATCCGTTTCGAGCCCTCAGCACCGTACACTCAAGCACAGAACGGCGGCGCAGAGCGCTCAGGGGGTGTGATCAAAGAAAAGGCGAGAGCGATCCGAGAGTCAGCAAAATTTCCAGAGTTCCTTTGGCCAGAAATCGTCAAAGCAGCAGTCTATCTTCATAATCGCACTCCGACGCTGATCAACCATTGGAAATCACCATACGAGCGATTCCACACACAGATCGGAACCCACGCGGGAGGATTCGCCCAGGCAAGGAAGCCTGAAGGCACGCATCTGAAAGCGTACGGATGCAAGGCATACGCCATGACGGCGAAAGCACAAGAGAAAAAGGATCGAATCAGGAGATTCAACCCCAAGGCTTGGGTAGGATATTTGATCGGATATCAATCGTCCAACATCTATCGAGTATGGGTTCCCTCGCTCAATCGCGTCATCAGCACCAGGGACGTGATCTTCAACGAAGACGAGTTCTTCAGCGGCAACGTGGAACAACTGCGAGACGACTTGCGGATCCTCAACGAAGAGGACCTGAAGAAGGCCTTGGACACTGCCGAATTACCCGAACCCGACCTAGAGGACGAGCCAACAGGCCGATCAGGAGAAGACGAGGAAGTGATGGACATGGGAGATCCTCTGGATCCAGTGGAAGACTCAAGCTCAGAGTCGAAGCTCACCTCTACACGATTCGAGCCTCTCCCTACTCCGCCTCAGTCCCCTCCAGCAGCGTTCTTCACCACCATGTACGAGAAAACGTCATATGACGAGCCCCAGGACCAGGAGTCAACCTACAATGCTTGGCAGGGTGTTGAAGCCTACAATGTCTCGAGGCAAGAAGGCCCGAGGCAGGCGACTTCCCCCTACAATGTCAAGCAGGTTGCAGCGGCCTACAATGCCAGTCAGGTTGAAGTAACCTACAATGACACCCAGCAGGCTACCCCGTGGGAGCAGGCCTACAATGCTGGAAGGCAGACCGCTGATCCGAAGTCCGCGAGGGGAGAAGCGTATCAAGCGCGCAGACGTCGGCTTAGACCGATGCGATCCGGTTACACGGACGCAAACAAAGGGACGATCCTCGAGCGACTGAAGGCTCTACAAAGGACTCACAGATCAGAACTGCCAGTACCCCCAAAGAACGGGAGAGTGCAGGATCACCCCTTAAAGGAACTGTTCCATCAAGCGGAACTCGATCACCTGAAGAGCCATGACCAGATGCAGTCCTGGAGAGAAGTTCCCAGGACTGTGGCCCAAGGCAAACAGATCCTTGGTTGCATGTGGGTATACGTCTACAAGACGGACAAGCACGGTTACTTTGTGAAGTGCAAGGCTCGTCTGGTCGTGAGAGGAGACCAGCAGCGGTGGTCAGCAGGCGAAGAGACCTATGCCGCGACACTGGCTGGCCGATCGTTTAGAACTCTGATGAGCATTGCTGCCCGCTTTGATCTAGAACTGACTCAATATGACGCAGTCAACGCGTTCGTTAACGCGAAGCTCCCGTACGAAGTGTACATGGAGATGCCACGAGGTCACCGAAAGGGCGATACGATCCTGAAACTCGAGAAGGCCCTCTATGGATTGAGAATATCACCCCTCCTATGGCAAAAGGAACTGACAACCACCATGATCGAACTGGGATTTGTTCAGATCCCTCATGAGCCCTGCTGTTTCAAGAAGGACGGCATCCTTGTGTTCTTTTACGTCGATGACATAGTCTTCGCGTTCCGCAAAGAAAAGAGACTCCTAGAAAAGGTTCTCGCCGCGAAGCTGGGTCAGCGATACGAACTCTCAGGGGGTGGGGGACTTCAATGGTTCCTCGGGATCGAAGTGATCAGAGACCGGACAAAACGTTTGATCAGGCTCTCTCAGACGGCGTATATCGACAAGATCAGCAAGCTGATTCGAGGACCGGCGAAAAGCGAGGTGCCAATGGGCCGAAACGAACTCCTACCATACGATGGTGTGACTACCGCCTCCGATCTGAACTGGTACCAGAGAACGATCGGATCGATCCTGTTTGCCGCCGTACAGACAAGGGCCGATATCTCTTTTGCAACATCAAGACTGGCTCGATTTCTCAACAACCCGGGGCCACAGCACTGCCAAGCTGCCGATCAGGTCCTAACTTACCTCAAGAGGACGCGAAACTACGCCCTTCAACTTGGAGGAGCAGACACGCTTGACATTGCCAGTGACGCCTCATTTGCTGACAATTCGCTTGACCGGAAGAGCTCCCAGGGACTGGCCATGAAACTATTTGGAGGTCTGATCGCATGGAGGGCTAACAAGCAAGATACGGTCACCACGTCAACCACGGAGGCCGAACTCCTTTCCCTTTCGCAAGCAGCCAAGGAAGCACTCTTCATCGACAGGCTTCTCAAAGAGCTGACAGTCGCTCTCGAAGACAACTACCTCACGATCCAATGCGACAACATCCAGACGATTAGACTGGTGAACCGAGACACAGTCACCCTTCAGACCAAGCTGCGCCACGTGGATATCCACAATCACTGGATTCGCCAGGAAGTCAACAACGGTCGGATCAGAGTCGTGTACACGCCTTCAGACAAGATGATTGCCGACGGTTTCACGAAGGCGCTGCAGAGGGAGAAGTGGCAAGGGTTTCTAGACTGTCTGAGCATTGTGGAGGTGGAAGATCATTTACGAAGGCCACCAGCCGCCAGATCAGAAGAGCCGGAACCCCGTTCAAAGTAACTGCAGCCTTGCCAGAAAGGCAACGCTGAGGGGGGTGTGTCAGAATATCGGGGTGGAGGCTTCGGATATGAAGAAAACGGGGCATGTTTAGCTTAACCATCACTTCTCATTTCGACGGGTAAAAACCCCAAGGGGACCCACATGTCGGAGTCTGAACGAGGACACACCGAAACAATACAACGGACGCGGAACAAGCGCGGACAACAACCATACTTGATTGCCTGATTGGACCAGTGAATCCCGTATTCTGACACACCGCAAGCTTGAACACGCTGGGTCGTTGGACGACACTACTTAGCGATGTGAGAGTCTGATCGGGAGAAATCCGACGGATGGGCTTTATAGCATGGGAAGACCTGGATCTAGATGCCCGGAGACGCCTGGAAAGCTGGACCCCGGCCGCGAGACAATTCTGGGAATCCGACTTCATCGCCTGCCAGGAAGGGATCGTTCAGGCATGGATCTGGCATTACCTTGACGACAACTTATTCTCTTTTGCAACAGACGCAGAAGAGGGGTCTCTGGTCAAACCGAGCTCACCCGTCTGGCAACATGTTCGTGGTTTGCGCCGTGAATTGGATGGTAGGTCACCTGCAGTCTGCTGCATGTATCCACCATCTGCTGCCCAGTCCATACTAACGCCTCGTCCAGTTTTACGCCCTTGTAAAGGCGAGTGGGGATCGTCAAGAAACCTCCCTTCGGCACCAACAACAAGCTGACGGAGAAGCCTTTTGAAGTGGGACACCAGATGTGTTGGCTCAATGGGTGGCTCCACTCCCAGCCCACGTCGGACGAGGTGTTCAGTCATGCGAACCCAAGCGGAGAATTGGATGCGGTAGATGGAGTCATCCTACGATGGGAATTTGGATGACCGTGGTGCCCTAGACGACCCTACGGCTTCTACCAACTGGGCCATCAAAAACCTACTGAGTGCCGCCCTCGACTCGTAGTATTTCCTACATGGCATGCTCGGAAGCTATACCCTCAGATTTGCACCCATTGACAGTGACCAAACTTTCGGGTTCCCCTTTGACAAGGAGTGGATGCAGCCGGTCCATGCCCACGAAGTACCGCACGCCCGAGATGATAAAAGGGGCGACCCGTTGCCGCCCGTCCAGCTTGTGATCCAGCCCATGTTGGTTGTGAGCGGACTTGACGGCTTGAACTTATACCCCTATCGCCATCTACCAGTGACGGTGCTGATCCCCGGGCAAGGACAAATGAAATGGCGTCCCCTCCTCGCCGTGCTGCAAGAAACCGGCAGCCGGTGGAGGACAAACAACACCTCATTGCACACCATTCCTTCAATGATGCCCACAGCCCACAGCCCCCACTCAGATAGCTTGTTACAGGGCGAAGCCGCCTCCAATTGGCGCTCGGAGCTGACCGGTATGGAGACTCCTCCGGGCCCTGCATCAGTAATTGGCAGAGCGCACCTCACTGACGGTGACATCACTGCGGGCATATCATCCGGGGCCGGGACGGCGCTGAACACGCTGCAATGTTCCGCCGTATTTGCGCTCCGTGGCGTCAGTATTGAATACATACATAAATGGATACCAGAATCGTGATCATGCACTTGGCCGCCGGGGAGCGTCACGTTGACAGATGAGGTTTTTTCTGGACGGCATCTCTGCATGTTTGCCTGGATTCGTGCAGCGTACCCGTCCGTGGGCGGAATCCGGGCCTCTCAAAGCGCGGCCCCGGCAAAGACGTGTCACGGCAGACCGAAATTGGTCCCCGACCTGACCAAACAACGAATCTATGGTCCGATTGATTGAGTCCAGACCATCGTCCCAGCCGCTTCCGGAAAGGGTCGCCATGCCGGTCGTCCTGCCGATCAATCGGGCGCCACCAATGCAAGGCCACCCAGCGTCTGCACGTTGGCCATGGAATCCAACAAGCCCAGGCCTCCCCTTGCGTGTCTACCGTCTGCCTAGCGTCTGTTTGTCAGGCGGCCCAGCAATCTCTGAATCCCGTCGGGAAGTCACAGTAGGCAATGACCGAAGATGGGCGGGCATGTCAAAGCAGCACCGTGACGCGCGTCCTCAACAACGCAGGCATCGTCAGGACATGCAGGTACGGCTGGGTGTCAAACACACTGACACTGTCCCTGACAAGCCACTACATGCGTTGGACGAGACGACCCGCCCACCCGGGTGTTGGGAAATACGGTGTAGGACAGTCCCGAGGTAACCACCGCGGTACCCGGCATCTAGCGAGGGCGACGGAGAAGGGATGAGACCAAAGACGCCAGCAGGACGACGTCTGGTACGTACCGTACCCAACGACAACGCAGTGCCAAACCGACTAACTGGATGGGGTGAAGCTGGTAGGTGGGTCCGTAACACATGCCACGGGTCGCGTCCCTGCCCACGCACGCCACGCGGGGCTGGGGTTATACGAGGACAGTCTTGGTCCAGAGGCTGGTACGTCGATACCTGCTTCTCGTTGTGCCCCCTGTGTGAATCTGTCCCCGCTGACAGAGGGCAGGGGTGTACCATGGAGAACGGGGAGACCATGCCTCCTTCAGCGTGCGCGCTCGCAAGTCATGTCAACACAACAACCCGGTACGCCCGGCTAGCTCAATCGGTAGAGCGTGAGACTCTTACAGTCCCACAGAGGGGAAACAGGTCATCTCAAGGTTGTGGGTTCGACCCCCACGTTGGGCTCAATTCCCAAGTTAACGATGGTTCGGTGTTGTGGTTTTCTTCTTCGATTTTTTTTTCGTGGCCCCACCCCCTTTTCTGATCCCGACCCTGGGTTCGGTCCGAGCCGGCGACTTGTCCGCCTTGCAGCAAGCATGTAGGTATTTACCTAATCGAGAAGCTAAAAATGACGTCCTCCGTATTCTTTGGCACTTCATTGTACCGATTATGCGTGAAGGACATGCCACACCCTTCGCCAAAATGTGGATCATACACTCCCAGCAACAGATCCTTTCCCACAGAGGTGCCCGGCCCCCTTCATTACACAAAGAACCTCGCATACGCCTCACAGCCCGACGTCGCCTGCTCCACCGAAGCCACCGCCCTGGTCAATAAATAAAACGATGGGCGGCCGTGGGCAAGATCACGGACGAACGGTAAACCCCTGCCGGTCCTGTCCTTGTTGTAGTACATCCTCGGCAGCGCGACCCTGATCTCCGTGTGCGCGGGCAGGTCCCGGAGCGGTTCCATGATTTCGGCAAACTTGGTGGTGAACGAGAGCATGACACTGGGGAAGAAGCGGATGTCCAGCGTTACGAGGTTGGGCATGCGCTGGAACAGGGCGACGTGGTCCCAGCCTGTGCCGCGAAAGTAGTGGCCCTTGATCAGCTCCTTGCAATGCTCGGTCCCCTCGGGCAACATGTGTGCGATCAAGGCAACGGACCGGATCGAAAAGGCCGTTTCTGGGTTGATCCAGTCGAGAAATGTTTCCAGTTCTCCGAAGCTGGCGAAGGTAAAGGTGGTCTGGCCGTAGAGGAAATGGGCAACCTCGCGGTATCTGTGATACACCGTCATGTTAGCGCGATATGGACGCCCGTAAGCTGGGTGCCATGGCATTTCCGTACGCGAACTTGCAGGTCCTCATCAAAACGACCAAATCTGCGAGACGGTAGGAAGTGGGTTGGCCTTCATCATGCACATTCTTCTGGCAGTCATAGTGTCCACAACTGCTGGTGCTTGGTTCTCCACAGGCTCTGCTGTGCAAATATCGGAGATGCAGCTCGCTCGGAATGCCTCTCCGGGCGACTGACGGACAGAATATGTGCTGGCGCTTTCCAGCATCTTGCAGTATGAGAGTTGTATACGTAATGACGGATGTCGAGCGGGAGTCGGAACAGATGTGTGAGATCGAATATTGATGCCGGGCCGCTGGAGATCTTGTGTCGCTCAATTTTGTGTCTTTGCCTTGTCAGTTCGGCTGGCCAGACAATCGGCTCTACGGAGAGTTGCTGTGGTAGGAGCAACCCAGGCGCTGGTCTTTTTTGATGTTTTCGGTCCCGGTGACCCTTTGCTGTCCTATTCGTTGGACTAGGCGAGCATCGCATCAGGGGCATTGTGGGCATTGTCGTGGGGGGAGAAGAGATGGCAGTGCCGTGGTATAGCTTGCGGCCTGCAACCGTGTCGAGATGGGAAAGAATTGAAAGGCAAATTCTGTGGGGGGTTGAGACCTGGTCGGTCTGGTCAAGGAAGGTACTGCGGGACGTGGGTTGGGGTTTTAGTTCGGCAGGTGCAAGGCGAAGTGACTCGGTGGGTAAGGTAGGGTTCTACCGTTTTCTTATGTATCGAGTCAGACATCATGTTTTAGGGTGTTTTGCCATCTTTTATTGCCAAAGCACAGAGTCAGCCGAAACTCGTGGTGCCACGTTGTTCATGTTGTCATGTGCTGTTCCAGCCCAAGATGGATGCTTGGCAGGAGTCGTGAATTTGGGCAGCCATCACATCACGCAACTGTGACTCAAGCCATGCGTCGTTCGTCCGGTCATTTCCCGAATTAGGAGTTCAGCAACCCCTTGACATTGATGTATTCCGGTCTCGTGCTCGTTACAAAAGATAATCTGATTTTCCACTCATAACCTTGAGAAAATGGACAAATCCCAGTCGTTATCGTTCATGTGCGTCATGACTCAGCTTTAATCCTGATGTCACCAGGCTGGTGAGCTTCCGACCGGCTTCAAGTGTCGCCGGTGGAAACCAAATCACGTAGCCTTGTACAACTCAAATATCCCTCTACATACCATGAGCCATGGTCATTGGGCTGTTGATAAGTTACCTTCAAGTCATGGACGAACCCCTCTGAAAGAACAAGCCCAATGCGGGCAAATCCTCAAGATGGCAATGGTGACGTCAGGGTCCAGTTGCACAGATTGCCCGTTCAAGTAAGGTACCAGGGGCAACTGGAGCGCGTCGTGCCCGTGCCAACACCGAGTGCATATTCTCGATTCTTGGCTTCGATGCTCCTCCGGCCCAAACCCATGTTGCCGGCCACAATCGCCGGCATGAGTTGGAAACGAGTTAAGAAGGTGCACTTGAGAGGGGCCGACTGCAAGCCACAGTAGATGACATCTCTTTGCGGTGTCTACATGGTGGCAGGGGGTCCGGGGAGTTACGCGATGGTGCGGGGCCCTAAATTGCATGGATTGTTTACACGGACGGAGTCTCACAGGCTTTCCAGTTTGGGGTTTGGTTTTGGTTTCGCGCTGTTGGGGATTCAACCGGCCGAGGAACCGGGTCAAGCGGGCGAATGAGATTGGGGATGGTTGCATTGGCCCTGTGATTGCCGTGCACCGGGATTCGATCGCGGCAAGTGCTGACCCAGATCTGCGGTGTAAGTGGCATGGCACGCAGGAGATCTCGTCGTTGTTAAAAGGGGGCCGTGTATCTTGGGTAGCGAATCCTTTGGCCCCGAGGAGTACGTCTTTTCCCACGACCAGCACATTCATCATGAAGGGCTTTCTTGGGTTATTGTTGGCATCGGTCACCTCGATCGCCTCGGCTGCCACGCCGGCAGCTCCAGGCCTGACCTACCTGTATTCGCTCAACTGCACGCTCGGACAGGCGCTACCCGTTGGCGCCGGCCCGCATGGCACCCGCACGGTCATCCCCATCACCGGTGGTACCTTTTCTGGTCCAAGATTGTCCGGTATGTTTCCCGACTGACCAAACAGTCGTTTATAAACGAAGCATCGAGGCACGCTAACCAAAGCGGCGATGTGTAGGCAAGGTGCTGAACCTCGGGGCTGATTGGGGCTTGATCGACAAGGACGGCACCTTCTCAGCCGACACACGGTACCACCTCCAGACTGATGACAACGCTCACATTTTCATCCGCACAGCGGGCCCGGCGCAAGCCAGCGGCAAAATCCACCTGCGGATGGAATTTGAGACTGGTAGCAGCAAGTACTACTGGCTGAACAATATTGTTGCCGTCGGGGTGTTGACTGCGGGGAACGGATATGTCGCGATTGATGGATGGCAATTGGACAGCCCCAAATAGTGAATTGAGGGGCACTTGGCCATCATGGGGGGTCCCATGGTATTTGGCTTAGAACTTCAAATGAATTTGCCCATGGTACATTTTGCTTTGCAGGCGATGCTGGAAAGTCGAATCGAGATTTCGGGACAGCGGGGACTCGCACATCCGCGACTTCTCCCTGCTCAAGCCCAACTCGGGAGCGGTCACGTGCTGCTGCTCAGACCTTGAGTCCTCAACCTGGCCTTGCGGGGCACGCGCATCGACCGCCCTCGCAAACATACGAGATTCTACCGGATCTTCGCCGAAAAGTCGCCAGCGCGCCCGGACAGCCAGCCGCAAAGATCATCCGGAGTGAAGCCGTGAGGCCAAGGCGCGTCGAATGTGACGCGTTAATTGCGGAGCAATCATGTCGAGTTACCCACCACCGCCGCCCTCGACAGGCGACGGCACAGGGCCGACCCCAAATAATCCCCAGCAGGGCGCCGACACCGACGGTCGCCAGGCCCACCAACCGCAAGTGCATCCCCAATTCACCGCTGAAGCTGCCGCTGCTGCAGTCGCCGCCGCCCATCATGGTCTTCAAGCGCTACAAGCTGCCGTCGCAGCTCCCGCTCCAGTCCCATCACCGAGTCCGGCGACATCGCAACATGCATCTCTCGCCGATGCCTCCTCGTATCTCGCCGCCAACAATGTCGGACCATCTCCTGGTGGCGGACCAAATGCAAAAGCAACTCGCTTGCGTCGGGCTTGCGACATGTGCAGCCAGCGCAAGGTAAAGGTACGCATCGAGTCGAGGCGGAGGAAGTTACCACTTTACCTAACTTTTTTGCTGCGTAGTGCGACGAGACCCAACCATGCAAGCCCTGTATTGAACTCGGCGTCGACTGCACTTTCAACCGGACGATGAAGCGGCGCGGGCCGCCTAACAAACACGCCGAAGCGGCCAAGGCGGCCAAGCAGCAACGACTGGAACCAAACATTAGCCCCGGACCACACAACGCCGCCGAGACGCTCATCTCCATCTCCGGCGGCCAAGATGCACAGCATATCCTCGATGCCGAGTCTATCGCCCCGTGGCCCGTGTTGACTCTGCTCATCGACGACTTTTTCACATACATCCACCCTCTCGCGCCGTTCCCCCACGAGCCCACATTCCGCATGTCATTTACGGCACGTGAGGACCGCACAAATCGTGCGTTCCTTGGGCTACTAGCCAGCATGATTGGCGCCTTGGTGGCGTCGTTTCCGAGGACGGCCCGGTTGCACCTCAAGACCCACCAGCACGGCATGCACATGTACCCCAAATCCATCACATTGGTAGACCGGTGTCGGACAGTGGCCCTCGAGGCGCGGGGTGCGTCCTTTGGCAGTAAAGATGATATCACCGTCCATGACGCTGCCACGAGCTATTTCATTGCTCTCGCGGCCGCATACACCATGCGGTGGAAGCTTTACCGCCGTTTCATGGCCGAGTCCATGACTTTCATCCGAGAGCTGGGCTACCACAAGCCGCGGGACCTGGGCTCATCCATGTTCGGCGTCACCTACCGTGGACCCCCGTTCAACCACGTCGAAGATCAACTGGGGAAGCGCATGTTCTGGTGCCTCTTCCTCGGCCTTCGGTACGTCCTGACTGTGGCCCCAAATCCGTCTCTTTCGCTAACCGTTTGTAGTTCCATGTACCAGCTCGGTACACATCACAGCGACCTTGTTCTTGCACCGCCCAACTCTCAGCGAGCCGTACCCCGAGTATCCCGTCGAAGTGGACCGACCAGTACATCCTCACCCATCAGATTTTGGGCCAGCCTGACCACAGTGTCTCGCTCCTAACTGGCTTCAACCAGGGTATTAAAATTTACCTGACCATGAATGGGCTCGTGAGCTTCGAGCTGGCGTACGGCATCTCGAGCCTTCCCTTCCACGATCAACAAGTGATGCTCGACGAATCACTACAAGCGGTAAAACAAGTCATGGACAACTTGCCGCCCGAACTCACCATCGACGTGAACCTTCCTCGCTCGATTAACACTCCGAATCATGGTCTCGCCAACCTAATCCCCACTGGCCCACAAGGCAATGTATTTGACGACGGCAACAGTGGGCTTCAATACTGTCCCATTGGTTACCAGCCCTTGCAACAGCAGCAGCAGCAGCAACAGCAACAGCTGGCTACCGATTTCCACCACACGCCCGGCGGACATCCTGAACGACGCCGTGTCCAGTACGAAATACAAAAAGCCAATATTTACGCCTCCCAACTAGCCACCCGCTCCTACTACGTCGAACGGTACCTCGACCTGCGAGACGCCCACCGGGCACATGCCCGCGCCCAAGCCGCACAGTCCTTCGCGGCTAGCCAACAGCAATAACGTGGAACGGCGGGGCAGGCAACGGCAGCAATCCGGGAGACGCGAGCGCCAACAAATCGCGTCGCAGCGGCGGACACTGCACGCGGCCGCGGAGCAAAACGATGGCTATCGACACCAACATGGCGGCCGAGCGCGAACTCATCGTTCAGCACCTGCTCACCGTGCTCGCGTCCATCTCGCATCGCAGCATGGAGCCCAACGGCGGCTCGCTCATCAACAAAATCCGCCAGGTTGCCAGCACGCTCGTGAACGATTCGCCCCATCGCAAGGGTCCCGTTGCCATCAAGGCCGAAGAGTCACTCAGCAAGTTTGTGGAGCTGCTGATGCGGTTGGAGCGGATCCCGCCTGGCGGTGAGGGGGAGAACGGCGTTGGGGGGCTTGCGGCGGGGGAGGATGAAGAGCAGGAGCTGAGGACGTGGGCCGATTTGAGGGAGCACCAGGCCCGGTTCGTGCAGTGCGGTGGATTCCTGGGATTGCCTTGAGCTCGCTCCTATTTGCTTTGCTTTGGCCTGGTGGCCGCGGTGTTTCTGGGATCGGTCGGGAGTGGCCATGATGAATGAAAACTGGCGTTGGAGTTGGGGTCATGGCTTGTGTGCAAGGGGACCCGATATCATGTTTGTGCATGTCATACTGTACGACTTTCCGTCCTCGCACTTAGTTTCCTCTGGTCTAATAATATCCCAAGGAATAACCCCGCAGAGCCGCGCCATGTGCTGTGTTAACGGAAGGATGCCGGTCCTCGCCGTCGGGCGTATTACAACGCAATATGTTTTGGCCGTTGGTTCGGAAGAATTCGTTCAGCTCACCACGTGTCTTGCTATGTACATAACCCCGAGCCGTATCGGGCCCACAATGTCTCTCATTCCTGCGTCTCCTATGGGCAGTCGGATAGGGCTACTCCATCGCTCTGCCACGTATTATGCTATCCATGCCCAGATATCGATTATTCGTTACAGCTCACCATATATGCCTATTCTAGGCATTCGGACCAACAGCATATGTTAAGCGATGCCAACTGAGAGTTCAGAGAAATCGCGGTTATCGTTTGTGTCATGAATGTTCGCACAGTCTTGCCTGCGGAAGTTCTCGCGGTCGACTGACCACGTTCTTGAGACGTTGGCAGTGAACCGGTCATGATTCTCGCAGGCTGCGTGACCGGGTCGTGTGTGACTGGGTCATGCGTGACTCTTGTTGTTCTCTCCCAGGCCAACTGGATATCTCAGCTAGTCATATGGAAAAGGGCGCAAGATCCGCAGTGTATAAAGGCGAGTCTATTTGGCTCGCTCTCCTCCCGGTTTCCCAACTCCCTTCCCACTCCCTCAAGCACACCTGTCTGTAAAGTTCTCAACACAGCGCTCAATAAGTCTACCCACCTTCTACAAGCGCTCAGTTGTCAGCAACAAACATGAAATACTTCGTTGCGCTTCTAATGGGGCTTAGCACTTCTCCCCCAGCTAGCCTTCGCTGCTGTCGCTGCCGTCGGGGGCGGCTTCTACGCCTCCTGCATACAAGACGTATCTTCCGTGCTCTTCCATTTAGCCATTCAAATAGCTTGTACTAACAACAGGGGGTTACTGGCGCATGGATGGAAAATACATGATTGCGGAATGCAGAAGGACCAACGGCCACTACAGGAGAAGCCGCCAGGACATGAACCTCTGCATCACCAACTTCCATGGCGTTCTGGCCCCAGCCAACAAGTAACCATCCCACCCAGACCACCCCCTGCCCAGAGCACCGACGCACTTGTTTAGTACAGACTAAATTAAAATCACCTCCCCAGCGGTTATTTCCACAACACCTGCCGCGGTTGCGGCCAGGCCCCTGACGGTCTTGTCACAGCCAATTCGCCAATAACAAGCAGAATGGGGTGCTTCTGCCAAGCCAATTCAATGGGATATGAGATTGACACTTCCATTGATCTAAGTAAGTCATAGATTTCGAGCCGAGCACTACGGGCGGGAGAGTGGATTCTCTTCTCCGGTACTAACACCCGCAGACGACTTC